CCGGCAGCCTACATCTATTGCAGCATAACTAAGGGAGGATTCAGGGTCACCTGGTCCAGCCCTAACTATATGCTTTAGCAAAAGGGAAAGTTTGAAGCCTAATCTTAAAAGTAGAGATAGTGTCTGTCTCCTGAATCCAAACTGGAAGCTGGTTCCACAGAAGAGGGGCCTGAAAACTGCTGGCCTCCAACACTTGCTAATGTTATTGAATCTGTGGAAGCTCCGCGATGCCACCACACGAAGTAATGAATAACGCGCCTATCTAAATCCCAGTAACGACTAACGCGTTTCCGGTTTTGGCATAATAACTAGTTACCGTGCCCGTTACCACAATAATAACGTAGTTACTGTAACGCGTTACTTAATAACGCGTTAGTCCCAACACTGTATATAGGCAGGTTAAGTGCAGTGTTAATGGTGCTGCACAGAAATATTATTGATGCTGAACAGCAGTAGAATTTGGTTACAGATTTATTGTAAAAAAGCATACTCATATACAATGATTATTTTGTAAGTTTTTTCTTGCGGGAAAGCAAGGTAACCAAAAGGGTTTAAGCTATGGACCTAATTGAATGTGTTTGTGTTGTTAAAAGAGAAAGGTGTGTGTCTAAATGGAAAGAAAAGAACGTTGTTAAATTCTGTTAATAAACCAGATGAGGAAGAGCCTGCAGACCGAACGCAACTGATGTCTCCTGTCTCTGCTTTTCTGGGAAAAAAAAAAAAAAAACAGTTTAAAAACAAACCCCATCGAAGACTTGTAACATTTTATTGTAAGAATATAACAGTGATGGCAATATAAATGTTTGTTGTTCAGCAGAACAGTGTCCAGTATGTTGGCTCATACACTTTTTTTGCATTTGAAAATAAAAAATTGGCTTATTTTAACACCATTACAAGAAGTGTTGTTAATTATTCTTTTTGCATCATACTTGGATACAATGTTAAATTAATGTTGTGTTGTACTATACATTTTTAGGATGATAAAACAGAATATGATTTGGAAACAAAAAGAAAGTAAGTTACTATTGCACAGTTAGAAACATCAAGTTATTCTTAGTACTCCATACTTGCAATGAATAAGTTGCCCTAACTTAGTCATTTTAAGTAAGATTTGCTCAATTTTTGCATAGTTTGCCATGTTTTTTTTTAGTTCTGGGAACTAATAAAATATTTCTTCATGTACAGTGTATCTCGTTGTCCGTTCTATTTTGATGGTGCTAATGATTTTGATTCGATTCGGATCCCAGACACAATCTTCCTCCTGGCCGCTTTGTACCATCCCACAGTAGGGTGGCACCCAGGCGGTGTCATATCCATGGTAGTACCAGCACTTTCGAAGTGGGTGATCCTGATGATCGATGATTTTAACCTTTCCCACTCTGACCTTAACCTTAATGACAATCTTGTCGTAATCTGGGTGATCGATGGGATAGCGACTCGCTTTCTTCAGGTCTCTGGTAAGGTATACACCCCGACCGAGCATCCCGTCCGGAGACTGGCAAAAACCTGAAGCCAAGATCGATCGAGCACATGCCCTTGTTGTGCCATGGTACATGATGTAGGTTCTACGTCCTGGCCAATGGTTCATTTGAACTACCCTGGAGGCAGAAAGTCATCGTCAGCAGGAAGAAGGGTTATTATTGATTAGGACATCACCAAAACAAGGTAAGGGTTACTGCTCAAAGAGGCTTATTGATCAAATGATTCAAAGGTGTGTCAAGAAAGGCTGTTGAAATTTACTTTAAATTAATCTTTAAGTAAAGTTAATCATAAATCCTTTCCAGTCCAAGCATATGGAATATAAATACACATAAAATAATATACTAAGAAACAAATGAAAAATATAAATCTTAAAAACACAGATTTAAACAAGAACTATTGATTAATTTCAGCTCATAAAATGCAAATCTCCATAATAACTGTACCTTCCCTCCAATTTTCAAATATCACATGAATATATTCTATATATTATTTAACACAGAACGAACAGTGGATAAAAGTATTGGTATCAAAATGATGATAAAAATGAAACTTCAAAGTGGAGCCTCACTGGAGGCAGTTAATATCATCCAGCCAGTATCTGCTTAGACACCAGTGATCAGTGCTCAAAAAGAAATCCATGGCTGGTTTTGTTGCCATGCAAAAGAATAACAATGACATTTTATTTATTTGCATACCTTCAAATGGTTCTACTGTCAGTTACAGTCACTCCAATACAGGTTTGTGTACAGAATCATCAACAGAGCCAGTCGATGTTACGACCTGCTAAGACAAAACCCTGAACTCATTGCAAAGTTTGCCATTAAGTACAATTTAAAACTAGCTAAGGTTTGCAAAGTTTCATTTTTCTGCAGCTACTCACTGGATTGTTTTGTCCTGATAAAACTGACATAAATCTGTGTTTATCAGTGAGGAAGTTATACAGCTAAGTCTAAATATGTCCTCATACACACAGTACTGATAATGTTTACTTTAAACATTTGGACCTTTTAGGAAAAAAGTAGATAAGCGTGTTAGCTGAGTCCACGTACCTCTCTGCAGGCAAGAATGGCGTCTGTGTTTCAGTTTTGTTTCGCAAGCTGTTATATGCAATATAAACTGGGTGTGGTCAGTGTGTGACTTAGGTTACACTCCTGTATCCCAAGATCAGGTCTTACCAGGCAGAGTGAAACTTTTGGTACTTTCCAATTTTCCTCCATAAAAGATTTGTAATAAAAAAAGGAAATTTGTCTCCTTAATATTTATAATTTTATGCTGTTGTTCAGATGCAGATGAGTTATATAACAGGTTGTCAAAAAATTCTAAGAGAAACATGTAACAGTCAGATTCCTGCTGTATTTGCAAATGTTTCCATTGTTCTGCTGCAGACTGACTTACGTTTGGACCAAATAAAGCAGCTTACAGGAATTTGGCTGATATATTTCCCATATAGCTAGCTCCTGCTGTGGCTCTAAGGCTCCTGCTAACTTTTGTTGTGGGATTTCTCTTTAATGTATTGTCTTGATGAAATGCTTTCATGTTACTTAGTTTAGTGCGTCTGGTTCACACCTCATTCACGCCAGGAAGGTGAGAAACTGGTGAATGTCTCCCAGGAGACGGAAGCTCACACAGGAAGACTTGACCCCAGAGTGGGGGAGATTCACACAGGTGATAGAGAGTCTTTCTGTTTAGAGCCAAGGTGTGAACTGCAACTGTAAAAGCCTTTTGTTCTGCGACTGTGTATAAAAAGGACTTGAATTGTTCATCGTCAGAGACGACTATCAGTGGCCCCTGACTGACGTCCCACTTTATGCATAAGATAGCTGAAATAAAGGTGCTGTTACAACTCATTGTGTCGCAGGCTCTGCGCACCCTGTGAGCAGGGTGATCCAGTGTTCTCGCTGAAGGACGACTCTGGGACGGCTGATCACCCCGAGGTAGCAAAACGCTTCGGTCCTGCCAGCTGCTTAAAGCAAAGAGAAAGGCAGAGTCGCAGAGCCTGTTTCAGCGACCACCGAGATCACCTTGACGAATCGAGGGGAAACTCCTGCAGAACGGTGAGCTGTATCCACCTTTTTAACAAGTCACGAGAGTTTTATGTCTGGCCGAGTGAGCGTGTTGCAGCCTTCGGGGAGCTCAAGAAGGTGAACGTGTTACGACCTTCCAGGGCAAGAGCTCCGAAGGAGTCTTCGTGTAGAATCACGGAGTGACATCCCTAGCGTCTTCTAAAAGATTCTAACTTCTTCAAAGGAGACTAGGGGTGGCGGTGTTCGTTCCTTGGTCCGTAGAAAGCAAGGAACCTCACGGGGGACGCCTTGTGTAGTAATATGGGATCTAGATCCAGTAAGGCAGCTAGCGGAGCCGGATTAGCGGCTCGAGAGGCGGCAGTGGCAAGCGCTCCACGAGGTGGCCAGGGACAAAACTCAATATTTGACTGTATGGTTAAGAAATGGGGAATTGAGTGTATGAAATATGTTGTTAAGTGGCAAAAAGTAAACGGTTTCCTGAAAAGGGATTGCTGAGTGTTAACCAGTTAAAGAAAATAGAGCAACAGTTGCGGGAGGAAGAAGCAAAATTATTGAAGAAAGGGAAAGTTAGGACCATAGATCTGCGTAGGGTAAGCGATGAGAAGGAATGTTTGAAAATGTGGATGGGGGAAGCAGAAAGAAGAGAAAACAAAGCAGCTCTGAAAGAATTACCTAGAGAAGTGCGTGGAATATTTCCACATTCCTTCTCTTGACCTTTTGAAAAAAAGGTTACCATACGTTCCGTTGTGTCACTCCATTTGGCCGCTTCCAACTCTACCACACACACACACACGTATAAACATCCACATTCCAATGTAAGGAACAAACGCTAAATAAAGAGTGTTTGTTCTTTATTTATAAATAAAGACCAGGGCAGTGGCAGAGCGCGAGTCCCTGAGCTCTCACTCCCGTGTGAGCGCTCTGTGACTGCCCTTGCTGCAAGTAAAAACTGTGTGTTTTCTCCATTTGGCCGCTTCCAACTCTACTAATGCCATCATGGCCACCGGACCTATTGGTCCTGAGTACACAGCCCTCGCTATTACCTTCTCCAGCAGTCCTCTGGCGCAAGGAATGAGACAACAACCGCATGTGACCAGTATCCCTATAAAAGCAGCAATAGAAAGCATGGCAGAAATTAAAAAAAAAAACCTTCCATTGCCCAAAGACAGAAGTCATCCAGCTCTCCAGCGGGTTGTCAATTCCCAAAAGTTCGTGCATGATTTTAGATAAAGTTTTCAGCCCCTCCAGAGCTCAAGTTACGGAGCCATCTGGAGCGGTGTTGTTGGGGATAAAGGTACAACGCAAGTCTCCAAACATGGCACACACACCCCCTTTCTCCACCAACAACATGTCCAGGGCCATTCGATTTTGCACTTCCATCAATGAGGTTGGCCCCAGCTGCTCTGCGAACCCCTCCATGGCGTCCCTGGTTAGGTTTGAGAGTCTCAGCACATTGTAATGGACATAATTTCTGCGGTCAACATTCTTATTTGGAGTTATCCATATGAATATACTTTCAAACTCTGAAGCTATTTGATCCACTAGTTTATACTCGTTCGGAACTCCCCTTGGCACTCCTATTGAGTTGGTTCTAGGGTGATAAGCATGTGTTCCTTGTGTCCCTTGGCAGAGCGCGAGTCCCTGAGCTCTCACTAGGCTTCAACCTAGTGTAATCTACCATCACAACCTTTCTGTCTGTTGTTTCTGCAATATTTGGGTCTAAGGCTAACGACACGTTCCTGAGCTGACCTGTTGTGTTCACGACAAGATTCCCTGGGACCGGGTTGGGCTTTGGGTAGGGATGGGTATCAAAACCCGGTTCTTGTTGAGAACCGGTTCCCCTGTTTCAATTCCTTGGAATTGTTTGCCATTTTTGCAAACGATTCCCTTATCGATTCCAGTCGCCCCGAATGACGTCACCAC